ACCGCGCCGTTGTCCATTCTTCATCTTGCTCAAAAATCGTCCGACGAACGGGCAGGTTCCCTTCTTCCGCGTCGATCCTGTCGCAGTGCTTGCACTCTCCACACGGACGTCTTGACAAAGCGTCAGCGTTGTTGTGAAGTCGACCCGCTCGGTGTTTGATCCTAAAGTGGTACTGCTGTAGTCTTTCCAGCCAACGCGCTACTTGGCCCTCGGGATTCTTTATCCGCAGTAGCCACGAGAGGGCAGCGTGGTCGGTTCTAATCAGAAACTCCTGTCCGTATAGATACTTGTGGAAGTGGTTGACGGCTTTGACAATGGCTAGCAGTTCCTTCCTTGTGGCACAGTAATTTCTCTCTGGTTTGGAATGTAATTTGCTAAAATATTCGATAACCCTTTCCTCCCCATCTTGTATCTGCGACAATACGGCCCCAATTCCCGAGTTACTCGCATCGGTATCGAGGACGAACATTCCTTTGTCCCTGGGGTAAGCCAAAATGGGGCTGGTGCACAAAGCCGTCTTCAGTCTCTTAAAGGCCATCTCACATGTACTGCTCCACTTGAAAGTCGCCTTCTGCTCCGTCAGTTGGTGTAACGGTGCTGCGATGTCGGCATACCCTTCTACAAATCGTCGGTAATATGTGCAGAGTCCCAAGAAGCTTCGTAGTTCATGCTTGTCTCTTGGTATGGGCCAATCCCGGATAGCAAGAACTTTTGTCGGGTTGGTTTCTATTCCTTTCTCCGACACGATATGGCCCAGGAACTCGACTCGTTTCTGGAAGAGTGAGCATTTCTTGGGATTTAGTTTCAAACGAGCGTTTTCCATTCGTTCTAGCACCTCCTCGAGATTCTTCAGATGGTCGTCAAACGTTTTGCCCATAATCATGACGTCGTCGAGGTATACCAGACAGGTCTTCCATGTCAATCCTTTCAGCACCATCTCCATCAGCCGCTCGAATGTTGCTGGCGCATTACATAATCCGAAGGGCATAACGGTGAAGTGATAGAGGCCACTTCCGGTGGAGAACGCAGTCTTTTCTTTGTCGTCCGGGTGCAAGCCTACTTGCCAGTAGCCACTCTTCAAGTCCAAGGTCGAAAACCACGCCGAGCCGGATAAGGTCGTCAAGGTATCGTCTATTCGAGGAAGGGGGTAACTGTCTTTCTTCGTGACGTCGTTCAGTTTCCTGTAATCGACGCAAAATCGGGTAGTCCCGTCCTTCTTGGTAACCAAGACTACTGGAGATGACCACGCGCTGTTGGATTCTTCAATTACCCCATCTCTCAACATGTTGTCCACGAGTTTTGTAGCTTCTTCTTGTTTGGCTAGGGGTAGTCTTCGAGGAGCCTGACGGATCGGTTGCGTGTCACCAGTGTTTATTCGGTGTTCCACGATGTTGGTCTTCCCGAATGGTTCCTCCTCTGAGGCGAAGACATTACGGTGCCTACGAATGAGTCCTTTGACCAGTTTTCTCTCACGAGCAGATAGCTGGTCCCAGTTGACCTCCAAGCCTTTGGTATCCCCGTCCTTAGACTCATTCTCAACGTCTTCTTCCTCGCAGTTCAACACTCGGGCGACTGGCTCACACATTCCAATAATCTCCCCTTTTCTAATATTGACTGCATTGGGAAACACGTTTGCCACACGTATGGGTATGTCACGGTCGGTTTTGACTAGGGTGCTCGCGATCAGGAGCTTGTGGGTCGAGTCACTTGCCGGCTGCACCATCCCCAAACTGTATCCGGGGTTTGTCTCTACTCTGGCGGGAACGATGACTTCTGCATTACCATCTACCTTCGTTGTCTGACAGACCACTAGTCTGACCGTTGCAGCTTCCACATTCGGACGTCCCAGCACAAATTCTTCGGCTCCAAAACGCAGAATTTTCTGTTCTGGATCGATCATTAAACCATACCGGCTGATTAGGTCCATTCCCAGAATGAAATCGTCAGCGATTTCCGCCACCAGAACTTCATGCCTTATTCGGAGTCGACCGAGTTCTACATTCACCACCGCTGTACCCAGAACCGGTGTTGTTTCTCCCGTGACCGTCTTCACATTCGTGGCGGTACATACTGATTTAATCTGACAATTTTGTAACCTGGATCTGCGTGCAAGGGACACTTCGGCTCCTGTGTCGATGATGATCTTCGATTCCCGTCCATTGATTTTTCCGCTGATTGTCGGACTATCGACGCTCCCCGCGATACTTCTAACCATTACAGTTGTTGGGGCTTCTCTTTTAGCAGCCAGTACGCGCCCCGAGGTACCGACTGCCTTTAGTTTTCCTGCTCCTGATGTAGACGAGGTCGCGGCTGCGATCTCCTCATCGGCGCTGGCGATCTAACACGGCAATCCCTCCTAACATGCCCTTGACGCCCACACCTGTAACATTCTAGGCGCCCTCCATGTTGTCTAGAACTGCCCGTCTTGATTTCGGCAATTATTTCGCGGGCGAGTTTCTCAAAGTTCTCGCTCATTTTGTCGAGACTCTCTTGAATAGGGTTTACTTCGCCCTCAACCCCAATGCCTCGTATCTTAACGTTGGAACGAGGTGAGCTGTTGTATGCGGCGTCCACTTCTAACGCTCGAATCAGCGCCTCGGATGGTTTCTTGAACCCGGAGATTTGCAGGACTCTTCTTACCTCACTATCTCTTACGCCGTTTACGAAGGTTTCTGCTGCCAGTCTGTCTTGGAAGTCTTGCGGAGCTTCAGGATAGGCGAGGTGTACCAAACGTTTAACATCAGCCGCAAACTCCTGAAGAGATTCACTACTCTTCTGAATCCTAGATTTAAGCTGCGCTACGAAAACTTGCCGGAGGTGTTCATCTCCAAATCTGAGTTCGAGGGCGGTCGTCAAAGCGGTATAGTCCTTCTGGTTCTCTTCTGATAATGTCTGTAGAATCTCCAGGGCCGCACCTCGTAGTGCTACTACCAAAGCGGTCGCTTTCTGTTGGTCATTCCAGCTATTCGACAAGGCCGCAGCTTCAAATTGCTTCTTATAAGTAGTCCACGACGTCTGCCCATCGAAAATAGGGGGTTGAACTCTCACCGGACTGAATTCTGCAGGGGTCGCAATTGTAGGTCGTGGTGTTTGCAACCTTTCTTCGAGCTCCTTGATCTTGTTTTCCATTTCATTTCTCACCTCGTCCACTTCATTTCGCACGACTTGGAGGATTTCGCTTCGGCTGTTCAAAAGTGTAGTTTGCATAGCTTTTAAATTTTCTTCCATTATTCTTTGATTTTCTTCCATTATTCTGCGATCTTCTTTTCTATTTTCTTCCATTATTCTTCGATCTTCTTTTCTACTTTCTTCCATTATTCTTTGATTTTCGCTCAACATTTTCATCATTTTTGTCAGTTGTTCCTCCATGTTGGCTGTTTGCGCTCTTGTGGTAGTCGGCATAAAATTTTCTTCTAGAAACTTCTAGAGCCTTGACAGATGTCAATTCTCGAAGCCAATGTCAGGTGATGAAAGTCTAATTCCGTTATTCCACTCTTACCGCGGGAGAGAATTTTCTCGAAAGTTCACTTTGTTCCGGTCTCCCCTAGTAGCACCAACCAAATTCGAATCCCGATTTATTTCACAATTAATCCCACTTCTGACACCAGTGTTACGATTGACGGACGAATAATAAATCGGGTGTTGGTAAAACTCAAAAAATTTATTTCTTCAGGTCGAATTACAACACTATCTATTGCGACGAATATGTACAGAAATTATTCCGGCGCTCTCGACTGTCTTCACTGGATGAATGAATCCATTACCTACGGTCGCCTCTATTTAAACCCATAGTCTCTGATCGAGATCCTTCACGAACATCCATCGCGACTCCGCTTCGAGACTCCCCTGGACGCCGCTTCGAGACGCTCCAGACCTGTCTTTATGCGCCCGCCTCTCGGCCGTCAACAGCGATGATTCACCCATCAGCGCCGTGCGTACGTCCAGAAGGCTCTCGACCGCCATAGGCGTCGTACTGGGGCGGCGTAAGGGTGTATTTCGTAACAGTATACTTACTCCATTGATTTAGACATCTAAAACCTCGATTTCAGAGTAGCGTTCTTTATGTAAGTAAAATCAGATTTTTTTCTTAAACATTTCCGTTTGTTGCTTAGCAGCACAATACCATTTATTTATTTATTTTTTTCGTCTAAAGGGAAAGCACTTCAGCTTACCTAGTCACCGTACGTTAGTAAACACTTGGTAAAAAAAGGTTTAAATTCAACATCATTATCGGCAAAACAAAAAAGTCAAGTTAAAAAAAAATTAACAATCGCCCTGTAGTACATTATGTAAACAAATTTTGAGGAAATCAAAAGGAAATCTTAGGAAATCAAGAGGAAATCACAGGCAATCAAAGGAAATCACAGAAAATCAAAGGAAATCAGAGAAAATCAAAAGAAATCGGGGGAAATCAACAGGAAATCATTGTCAAAAGGAAATCAATTGTACACTTGATGGTCGGCGGTTTAACCCTCGGTGTCGGCACTTCAGATGTTTGAATACTTCCAAAACAGAATTTTAATTACATTTTTAATATTAAAATTGTATCCCTTGTTGGTTACACAGGGTACACAGGAAAGAAAAAGAGAAGTCACAGTCACACTGCCAAAAAATATAAATGTTAATGAAATATGCACCAAGTATAAATACATAACATAGTTTATGTTTTTAGTTTGTGCCTGGTTTATGGTTAAAACGCAGAACAGAAAATGACAGCCGCCAAACTTTCTTACTTTTGTAAACAACAAACAAAATATAAACTCGTACAAAATTATTGAAGAAAACGGCGAAGGGTGCGATATCTAGTTTTTCTTAGCTTATTAAAAGATTTTTAGTTAAATATTAACAAATATTTGTTGCTTGAAATGTTAGTAATCTATTTATATTTAAGAGTCTGATTGTTTTGATGCTGATTAGATTAAGTGAATGAGATGGAGGCCCCCGAATAGGAGAAAAAATTGGTTTATTTTTAAACTAAAATAAACAATCAATATACATACCGTAACGAGACTGTTTATGGCAATAGTATCAAAAAGTACGAGATCTTTCAGTTCCTGGGGTGGAATTAGTGTAAACTCCGTAATCGTAATTTTAGCAAAAAAGCATTGTCACTATGATTGTTCGACAGTGACGATTGGCCAAGGAAACCATCAAGAGACGAAAATTGCAAGAAATATATAGGCCACATCACGCTGTGCATCATAACAAACCGATTTACACACTACATTAAACTAAAGTAAACTAAAACATAAGCGTACTACACAAAAATTTTACAAGTGCAGCATATACATTTGATTTATACCTTATCGATGGCGATAAGTGACAAAGATGGTCAAAGGTTTTTATTTTATACATAGTATTTCTCCATATTTCTTTTTTGGAAACATTGTCATGATAGTCACGGCTAACTAACATTGAATCTCCAATAAAACTTGTGCATTATACCCACGATTGTAGAAAAAATGTTGTATGCAACACGTGCAAAATTGTTCTTGCACTTGACGTATTGTCCGACGCAACCTTCGGACATTTGTTACGTCACTTTTTGCATAAATAAGTATTTATTAATTAAAAATCAAAAACCAAGAGAATTTTTGCAGTGTTATGACAACCACTCAAATTTGTTGTATGCGTCAGTTTAAAAAAAAAAAAATTTTTTCAATCGAGAAATGAGTGATTCTGAAGCAGGAAGCCTGCCTTTCGAAATAGAAGAAGCTGCTGCAAATGTGGCGTCTTCATTGTTGCCTAATTAATCAAAAACCAAATACGAAAAGTTTTATAAATAAGTTAGGAATTACTTAATGTAAATAATTTGTTGTAATTTGCATGTTCATAAATTTCAGTTAAGTAGTGGAGACCTTCATTACACCACTAGTGGAATAATATGGTTTATTACTCAACTCAAACAGTGCTCAATTTTTTTGTTGTGCAGTTGGTAGAAAGAATAATTCCTCTTCTTTCCTGTATCATTACTTATTACAAAATTTAATTTTGCCAATTTAATTTTTTATGAGAATCCTTACAAGTTAAATACAAATATGTATGCAATGTTAAAGTAAATATGAAGGAGCATGTTGTGAGTGTCTTTCAAATGAGTTTTTTCTTTACAAAATTTTGTAATGACGTCATCAACATTTTTCAAAGGACACGTTTTGTGACCGGGTTTTTCTTTCCGGTGCGGGGGTAGTCGATGGGAAACGGTAATTTCCAGGACTTCGAAGAAAACACTAGTGATATAAGAATATTTATTCAACAACCACGAGCAACTCAAGCATACAATCCAGGAATAAACGGTGGATGATTTACAAGTTAAAGTTTGAACGGGTCATATGAGTTTAGGTAAACATTAAAATTATAGAAAATAAGAATAATAATTTATTACGAAAAATCTCCATTTTAAAAAAAATAAAAATATAATCCAGTAACAATAATAACTAACAAAAATTATTTAAATAAATCATATAAGAAAGTTTAATGTTCTTTTAAAATTAGTCTGTGTATACAATACAACATATAAGTTCTAATCAAAAGCCAAATTCTTAAACTTATGTCATACTCATCACCACTAAAAAAATAATATATGTACACTTTCTGGGTAGCACTTTGTTGCACAAGTTGGTACATTTTTCCTTGCTTACCACAGAACAAATAACGTTAAAAGATATATCTATAAAATAAATAAATATATGTATCTGCTCAATATTTTGTTGTCAAACAGAAACAAAATTAGTAGAAAAGCATTACATTCAAAACTAATATGGCGGTCGCTGAGCTTAACGCAATTGAAGTTCATTGTTAAAAAAAAAAACAACGTGGAAGAAATCGCCCAACTTTGAAATACACATATTAACTTTATACCTTGCGAAATTGAATCTTTTATGTCTCTTGTTCATGTAACTAACTTAACGCTAGTATTAAATACACGGGCAAAATAGCACGCACCGACTTCAAAAACCAATCGATTCATTTCACCCTAAACTATAAAATTTATCACAGATGTATCACAAGTGTTACATTGACGCAGTTTTTACCAAGTTGCCTTTCACTGAATTAAATCATTGCATAGCAAAGTATTTGGTAATTTCTAATTCAATTTTTTTTAACTTTTCAAAAATACTCAACACAATAATTAAGATGTTTTAGTTGTTTATTGCTAAAGGGGAAAGAAAATTTTATCTATGATTATGTAAACGGTCAAAAATTCCAAACATACTTCTATTGTTACTCGTATTTTATAGTTCGTTTCGAAATAATTAAAAAGGACTCCAATATTCGATTGTTAACCTTTAAGGTTGCTATAGAAGTATTTACCGAAACAATGCTTGATTTTTATAGCCTAGAGCACTCACTAGGACCATGTCTCGGTTTACATACTTCTATTAAGATTTTCAACTAATCGTGCTGTGAAGTGTTGTGAACGTTAAATATCGAATATTGTAGTCATTTTTACTAATTTATAGAGGGATTTTATAATTGTTTTGGCCATTGTTCAAAAAAGTTCAACTCGAATTTGCTCAAAAATTTTGTTACGCTCACGCTTGGGTACATGGGAGAATTGTAATAATGTAGTAAAATGACTTTTTTAATGAGCATGGATTTAAATAAACATGATTTCAAGAATGTCTGGTAGATATTTCATTTTGAATTTACTCGTCGCGTGCCACAGGGTGCAAGTTGTATTATACCCATTACAACGGTTAAGTAAGGTACATCATTTACTGACCCCAATGAGTTTAACTAGCAAAAAACAAGTCGAAATATACTCCAGAACTGATAAAATTCGACCAAAATATTATTTCTAGTTAAAATTTGACATTCATGAATAGGATTTACAAATTCTTCAAAATCACCAAGATCAATAATAAATAGTAATAAATAAATACAACTTTTATTGTATTGCTGCCTTTAAATTTCGTTCTTTATTGCCTGCACAAAAGGTGTATCGAAATTTTCAATAAGCGAGATTTTTTTAAATATTGAAGATTTTGAAGTTGAACAGCGGCAAAGTTGTAAAAAACAATTTTTGTAAGGAACTATTTGCTGTAACAAACATTTTTAAACTCAAGCGATGCCTCTAACATCAACCGCAAATATATATGTCGCAGTTGTGATTGTTTGCGACATAACTTGATTTTAAAAATACTCAATTAGAATAAAATACCTTTAACTGATTAGCTTTATCGTTCATAAATAATTTCAGAATATTAGCAACTCTGTTTTAGATCAATTTCAAAATTTTCAATAATAAAAAATCTCGTTTATTGAAAAATTTCGACGCGCGTTTCGCGCAGATAATAAAGATTTTTTAAAGAAATTTAAAGATATAAATACAATCACAGATGCATTGTGTACAATCGTTGAACACGCAGGTAAAACTAGGAAATTTTAAAATAAGACGTAATAAATATCAAAAAATTTAGTTTAAAAATATGAGAATTAAAGAAAAAATTCGAATTACAATAAAAGATTAATAACGAAAAAATCGCATTTTAACATGAATATATCAGTATCTCAAAAAGTAGGCAAAATCTCACAAAATCGTCTTTATTTGCTCTGCAAACATTCTTGGAAACTCAGTTGAGATGTAATTGTTTCTGCGGCAACTTCATTTTCCAAATAGCAAACTTCTCAAATCTGAGTTCTAAGTTTTTACAGAAATCAATTCATTCATTTTGACATGCAACTCAGCAACAAAATTTTTTGTAGAACGGCCCAATATTTGGTTGATGAAGTAATTTTTGGATGTTCTAGTGCTGGATAATTTCCACAAAGAGAAAGTAAACACACAAAAAAAAAACCATTTGTACAAAAATAGGTAGGTAATGTTTGCAATAAAAACCAGAAGTTTGCAAACTGGTAATTTCAGTGGAAAGATATTTTCGTGTCGAATTTCACAGAAAATAATCTAAAAACGGTTTTTAAATACTGCTGTGTAAATCTTTGGCTTAACTTATATAATTAAATTTAAAATTCCTATTCTCGAAGATATCGATAGATTGGATATTAAATTATTATTATTTATATGACTTATAGTATACAACTACCCACCATTACTCCATCATCTCTAAACCGCGTAGTTCTGCAGAAGCAAATTGCTATGTCAACAGAATTGTATTCAACCATTTATCCACACTGTGTTCTTGGTCCCACAAGCCTAGGTTTCTTCTGCAACGGTTAGGAATATATCTTCCAATGAAATTTGGTTCACTGCATAATCCTCTACTTGTTCTTTATACATATCCTTCATTGTCTGTAAGTCAGAAAACAATCTACTCAACCTTTGGTTACCGTCCACGACTTCGTAAGTTAACGTATTCTGCATATAAAAAGTAATTAATCTCAATTTTTGTTTTAATAAAATAAAATCTCACAGCGTATTCCTCTTTAAGCTGAGCTTTTAATTTGTCTTCCATGTGCTTTTTGATTTCTTCTGAGTTGTTTGTTTCACTTGTAAGTGTCACAGCAATTTTAAAACCTTTTTGGTATTTATTTTTCAGACACAAAAGACTCCCTTGATCTTTAATTTCACCACTTTTCATAATTGCTATTCTGTAAAGAAAATTCTAGTTAGAAAGTTTACGACTTCAGAACTAAATACGCACTCATCACACAAATTTTCACATTCTTCCATACTATGAGAGCAAAGCAAAAACGATGTCCCTTTCATTTTCTTGAACAATGATAATATACCCCAAAATTTGCGTCGACTTGCTGGATCGACACCACTTGTGGGTTCATCGAGGCAAATGACTTTAGGAGATCCTAAAAACGCTATACAAGAGCTTAGTTTTCTTTTGTTTCCTCCGCTGTATTCAGAACACGGTTTATCAGCGTAAGGATTTAAACCTTAAATAATAAACATATAAATAATTAAAGGTAACAAATATAGTATTTTTACCAAAAGAAGTCAATAAACTGTCAGTTACTTCGTTTACGTCTTCACTCGAGTAACCTTTTAAGTATGCCATAACACGTATTAGTTCTCGTCCAGTTAGAAAATAATTCAAACAATCTTCTTGAGGACAATAACCAATTTTTTGACAGTACTAAAAAATACATTTGCACAAAGTAACGAATCGGTTTTATGATAAAGACTATGTTTCCTTACCTCTGGTTGGTTTATCGTTATTGCTTTTTCTTTGCTTTCTGGGTTTAAAGCAATACTGCCGTCATCGAAAAATAAATTCTTCGTTAGCATGCGGCATGTGGTAGACTTTCCAGCACCGTTGACACCGAGTAATCCGAAACATTT